CCCCCCCCCCCCCTCCCCGACCCAACTCTAGTGGGATCCAACTGGGTTGAGCTTGTAACCCAAATTGTAACCCAAATTGTAACCCTTCTTTCCGTATATCCAACTTAGCATCACAGAGACACAGAACCCAATCAAGAATATTCTTGCTCAATGCATCCATAACAGTTGCAAGTACTAATGAGCTTAGTGTCAATTTTTGATGTAATCTCTGAGTTCTTAAATCAGTATCTATAGCTACTCTGGCAAAGGCTGAGTAGCAATTAGGACAGACTAATTGAGAGTACTAAGTGTTTACTCGGTCTTGTATTAGTAAACTGAAAATTATGTTTTTGGCAAATTTCTAATAACATTTTAGGTGTACTAGTTATATATATACTCCCTCCATCCCAAATTAATTTACACTTTATGGATAACGAGGCTTAATTAAGTTTATTTTCAATCCAATTTATTTAAATAATGGTACAAAATTTCAAAATAAAACTTATTTATTACTCCCTCCGTCCTCAAATTGGACGAACTTCAATTATCAATTGCATTAAATGTAAGTAACATATTAATACAATAAATTAAATTTATGAAAGTTTTATGGAAGATAAACCTAATGAAGATATTTGTGTACTAATATACGATACAAATTTTATATGTTGGTGATCAAAGTTTGTCCATTGACTAACGAATACTCTAGATGGAGGTCGTACAAAACTACATCAAATTCTCTATAAAACAAGAGGTGACATGACAATGTTATTTTAACAAATGATTAACAAAGTAAGTCAATAAAGAAGAAAAAGTGTGACCTATGAATCATGAAGTGAGACGATTAATTCGGGATGGAGGGAGTATGCTTGTTATATATAGGAGAAGTCTAAATTGACAACAACTGATTTAGACACCAATCTCGACACCACTCAAATCGAGGCCCCTACGATGATTCATTCGTAAAATTGATGGTTCCTACCCCCTCCCCTAACACCCCTTAAACCCCAACACCCCACCAGTCAAATTGAGGCCCCTACATTGCTCTGTCCGTAAAATTGATGGTTTTTACCTCTAACCCCACCCTCAACCAGCCTTGCCCCCCTACCCCCTCTCTTGGTGTCGCCGATTAGAAGTATAGATATAATGCCAATCGATGACACCAAAAGAGGGGGGAAGGGGTGGGGGTTTTGAGGCGGGGGTTAGAAGAACTACCAATGTTACGAACGATAGGGACCTCTATTTGAGTGGTGTCGAGTTGGTGTCAATAAATGTTGGTGTAAGATTAGCCAACCATGGATATATATATATATATATATATATATATATATATATATATATATATATATATATATAGACATCCAGACGATCCTAAAGGTCATATCCTCGGCCTGAAAACATATGTCGTGTGTAATACGGAGTAACTTCTTTCCAACTCTTCTTAGTCGACCTCTACGCCTTGTAACGTCCCATACCGCAAGTCTCTCGCACCTCCTCACTAGAGCATCTGTACTTCTCCTCAATACATGTCAAAAACATCTCAGTCTAGCTTCTCACAACTTTGTCCCCTCAACTTTGTCCTCACACAGACCCTCTCCCATATAGCTTCATTTTGTACCTAATACACCCTCATATCACCTGTCCACCACACATCCATCTTAGCATCTACGTCGCTCCTACCCAGAGCTTCCGAACGTGAGTGTTCTTCACCATCCAAGTGCCCAACACTCGCAAGCCTAACCCGGTAATTTGAGAATGAAACAAGTAGATCTAAATGTGATACTCAAAAAAGTGAAATGAGGGGATTTAGGATACAAAATAAATTAAGGAGTCTGGTAATTAGGAATAGATGATGGCATGCAATTTATTAGGTATATGGATATAAGAAATGTCATTCAAAAATTGAAGAAGTACAATGAGTGAAGTCAGTGATACGATGATGTTTGTATTCTACTACACTAGTCTATTGAGGTATGTAGGAAAGACGGGACTGATGATGAAGCATACGAAAGGATGCCATAATTGAAGTAAAGGGCACTAGAGTAAATTTGAACACAAAAGGACACTAGTGTTAATTTGAACACAAAAATTTGGAAAAATAGTGAGCAACTCAAACCTTCCATTTAAAATTACCCGAAATAAGGTGAGAAAGCATCATTTTTAAAACAATTAAAATTTATTGAAAATTCAAGATAGAAGTGACTGGAGCCACTCAACTAGGACCTAAACATTACATGGGTTTAACTAAAAATTTAATCTTAACCTATGATTTTTTATGGAAATAAAATACAAACATGTTTGACATGTTGAATCCCTCATATTTAGTGACTAGAATTTAGAGGGATGAGGAACCATGTTTTTAATTTGTTGAGATTTGGATACCATAAACGTTGATGAAAGCGATGTGATGACTCAGAGGATAGAGGTTACACACACATGCAGTGGATGATGAAATTGTGACCATGAAACTCTGTTCTTGCACTCCAATTGCCTCCCCGACCTCCGGTCTTGGATAGAAAAAAGAAGTGGAGGTACAAGTTTTATTCATATGAAGGTCTTGTTAATTGATCAAAAGAACCATATTACAAGAGCATTGATGAATTACCAGTATGTGCTGTTGTTGCTAACAACCTCTACATCGCTTGTCGGGCAGTCTTGAACTAAATATACTCTTTGTATTCATCAACCCATTGTTAGGAAGTGATATTGAAGGAATAAGGTCTTTGCCTTTTGTTTCTTTATGGGGATATCAGAAATAGGTGAATTAATGATCAATACTTCATATTGAAAAAAATGGACTCAGAATCATTAGCATGGTAAAAAAATATTTGCACATTAAAAAACTCGTTCATTTTGCTCTCTCACTTGTTTTCTGGAATGTTATTCAGTGTCATGAAGAGCAAAAGGAGCAACTCAAATAAGAATCTAAAAATGGCGAGAAGGTCACAATTGTCAGCAAGAAGATTGGAGTCGCACCCGGCGAGAGTTCTTTTAGTGTGTTTACAAGATAAAATAAATGGACCCTCCGGACAATTAACCGATTGAAGAAAGTGATCAAGAAGAACAACAAGCCCAAAGCCCCAAACAGCAGAATCACGGAAGATGGGTCCTGCAGCAAGCAAAGTTACAGATTGTGGCACATGACAATGCATCAGGTAGCAAGTTGAGGCAAGACCAAGTAGGTTGTAATTGCATGCACCTTCTTTACTGTCCACTCACCATACGTTGGTCATCAAAGATGATTAAACATGGGGTGAGTGGGGTAGCTTGGTGGTTCCCCTTCCCTCATCCCCCCAAACCTTCGAAACCCCATCCCACCAAAAAATAAAAAAGATAAGTAAACATGGAAGGTACAAAACAAATATGAACAATATTGTCCCACAAAAAAAATGTGACTGAAAAAGAAAATAAGCAGGTTTCAATGAAAGAATAGAATACCAGAGGATTAGTTAAGCTTATTGTAATCCTTTAAGGGCCTATAAATAAGTGATTAATAACAAAAGTCAAAAACCAATCCCTTATATTTTGGAAACTTAGTTCAAGCGAAATAGAAAAGAAGAAAAAAGATCTGAAATATATCCTACCCATCTGGAATCTAATGAAGATTCACAAAAAATCTTGGCAAACAAATTTATAGATATATCACAAAGTACAATGATATTTTTGTGCAAATAATGTGCCACCCAAGTACATATTACATTAGGGGAACTCTAAGAGGAATCTAGGTTCTAGAGTGTCAATTTAATACCACTAATTAAATCTCTCCTACCAAATAACTAAACATAAATCTGCTTCACAAGATAGAAAACAGTTCCATAAGACTAGATCTGTATAAGTTATTCGTAGTATTCTGTATTCACTATAAGTTGCATGTCGCATTCAATTCTGATTTCATTATTTGGGCACACTAGAAATCCCATAGAAGGGATAGGCACAAGTTGGATAGCTACTAAATACTCCCTCCATCTCAAATGAAAAGTCCACTTTGATCGGATATGGAGAAATAATGATGACCACATATTTCTTATCAAACAAAGAAAATGGAATTTTATTTTGGGACCAACCGAAAAGGAAAGTGTTTACTTTGGGACGAAGGAAGTAGTATCTAATAGAGGCTAGACGCCGGCTAGGGTTGGTATGAAACAAGGATTTTATCTATAGAGCATTAGCAAGGCATTGATCTAAGGTATACAGAGTAATAAATTTTCTATCAGCTTCAATTACAAGCACAACATTTTATTATTGCATATAAAACAATGAAAATAGAAGCTACAAGCATCTTCCATGGGAGAAGCCAAAAGTGTAGAGCAACCAAAAAATGCAAAACACCTATCTTCTAATATCTGGTGTGCCTAATTTAAGGAGCAAAAAAATTACATAAAATATGATGATAGTCAATAGTGTCAAGCCTAAATAGTTTTTGTACATCTTATTCATCCACCATAAAAAATGACTTGTAAAATATAGTGGAGTAGAAACTACTCCATCCAAATTTAGGGCCCGTTTGGTGGGCGCATGAGATACGGGTTCTGATAAATTAGAACTCTTTTGTGGTGTTTGGTGAAGCCTAAACAAGGTTTGGATTTGATACCTCCCAATATCACAAGCTTCCCAAATGGGGGTTGTTTTGTTATCTCTCAATTTTGGCAATCCGAGGGTTTTGACATTTCCCTCAATTGTCGGTCATCACCGCCGGCAACCCACCTTTGCCGGCCCCCACCACCCACCCCCACCGGCCACCCCGCAGCTCCCTTTAACAACCATCATTTCAGATCTCTCCAAACACGTTCATTTCAAATTTTAGAACACATCATTTCTTCCAAATTTCACAACATATATCATATCAACCTTGTTTTGTTTGCCCTTGAGTTGTCTATTTTCTTGTTTTTGTTTGTCTGAAATAAATTGTCAACTTTTCATATTTAATAAAAAAATAATGATGAATTGCCTAAAATATCCTAGAGATGAGGATGAGGTACAAGCATTAATGACACGATTGAGTGACAAGCTCATTTGAAGGACGTCTTTAGTATTTGAAACCCATTACTTGATAATGGAGTTTTTTGAAAGTGGACAACTAATTCTGAAGAAATGAAGTAAATACAACATGGACCCCTCAATGCAACCTCGCAGCAACATCAAGAGCAGAAAGAAGCAAAAATAGCACTAGTTAGACTATGAGGGATAAAGAAAAAGGTAAGAGAAAAAAAGTTGAAAGAATCCTTAAAGGCCACTTCAAATACGAAAAATCAAAATATTAGAAAGTAGATTGCAGACTCATAAGATGCAAAAGAAAAATGAGATATACAAAATCACCCTTTAAGTTATGTAATTTATACCTCCAGATGACTCGTTTGTGCACGGTCTCCACTCATCAGCTTTATAAGAGTGCTTCCATATAGTTGATATCTATATCACAAATTAAAGAGATGTAAAAAATTTGTGTGGCTTTTGTCAATGTCTGATTACAATCACTATAAGCATCATCACTCAATGATCATATCTGTAGTTAATTCATACAACTTCTATGAAATAGATTTTACGGTGAGGTTAAATGTCAATAAACCGCATGATACAGTTAAAGGAACGCATTGCCAGAGTAATTAAATCAAGAAACTTGACAGTGGTCATTCATTCATGAAAAAGTCACAGCCCACAAAAATATCAATTAATATAAACTTTGAAATAGGCAATGGAAAAAAAATAAAGATGGCACCCCAAGCAACATTATTTGGCAATTCATATCACTCAAAGACTTCTCTGTATACCATCATACAAACACATGTTCATTAATCTTGTGCTTTTCTTTTTCCGAAATGTTAAAACTGTATTACTCATGGAAATTTTGTTCTTGTGAAAAAAATGAAACAGACACAACACATTTAGCAAAATTCTGAGCAAATACAGTGTTAGCCCCAAACCTATTATTCTTCATTCCTTCAAAAATCATACAACAAAAGGATGTAGGATGTCCTGCACTACAACATCTCCATTCCTCTTGCAGTTACTAAAGAATACACTTTGGACCAAATCCTCAATTGATGCTCCAAGAGCAATGCAGGAAAGGCACCGAACAAAGAGCTGCATTTCATTTCCTGCTAGCCGGGCAGAATCTAAACATCCATTGTGCACAGCTAGTACAAGCTATGTTTATCAGTGATTGCAGATCTAGACAGAAATCTCTCTAATTCAACCTACGCTTACAGCGAAATTCCAAATTAATCTATTGCTTAGCTCAATTGAGATAATAAATGGAAAGGCCGCTGGTTTCTAATTGCATAACCATTAGTAAGATTGCCCAAGAAGTGTCAAATCAAGGCAGTCATTGTCACCCAAGACCCTTTCCACCCATTGATGTTTACATCAAAATTGAAAAGGGAAAAAAACGGAGAGGGAATTCCCTAAAAAAACTAACCGCATCTGCAGATGAATTGTCGGAATCCATCTCGGGTAGAAGCTTTAGATACAATTGAGGGCTGCGGTAGATGGACCCAGGCGTAGCGCGGTGCTTGATGATAGGCACAGCATCGAATGAAACAGTTCCCATGTAGAAGAACGTGCATGAGAGGTATAGAAAGGGAGCAAAGAGGAAGATTCCCTGACGGCGGAGGAGGACGGAGAGGAGGATCCAGGAGAGACGCTGTGTGACGGTTTTCTGGGCAGGTTGACCCGGAGTTAAGCGACCATAGGGTTTTCCGGCGCGGCTTACCTGAGGCGACCGAGAGCGAGGCGACGACGGCGTCGAAGGGCTGCTGTGTCCGCTGCTCGGTAGCCTATTCTTCGCGCGCATTTCTCCTACACCTTCACATCATACTCAGTGCGTAGCTGCACCATACACATTACAACAATCCGATATTGAATTCACAAAACAACATTTCAGACAAACTCAAAATCGGAAAGAGAAATAAGGGAGGGCAAGGGGTCAGGGATTATAATATTATACGGAGTTATATCTCATTAATAAGAATATAAAAATGGAAAGAGATACAGAATTCCATGAGTAAACAAGGAAAGAACACGGGCACATACAGCCAGACAGAGAGAGATAGGCATGTTTCATTCTTTTCTTTTCTTTTCTTTTTTTTTTTTAACATTACTAGTATTTTAACGCGTGCAATGCACGTGATCAAACAAAATTTTTGTTGATTACGTAAATTATCTTAAATGCAATATTTTCTTCAGGTTTAGAAAAAATATATTTTATATATTATAGACATCAACATCAAAGTAGAATAAATAATACTTCCTCCGTCCCATAAAGATGAGTACATTTTGACTAAAGTAGAAATTAAGGGAGCGATAATTTTGTGCTGACTTTCCAAAAATACCCTTGATGTGATTGGTAAAAGTATGATGTGATGTGTAAATTATTAGGAAAAAAAGGTATGATGTGATAGGTAGGGTTTGAAAAAGTAAGGGGTAAAAGTGGTTTTTTAATAGAAATGGGTAAGGGATTGTGGAACGCAATTTTTTTGAAACGTGTAAATCTTTTTGGGACGGAGGGAGTATATAGTTAACATTTTGTGATGTAAATTTTTGTACATGAAATTGAAAGACATTATGACAAAATATAGTTTCTATAAGTGTTTTTTAGTGTTATTAACTCTATTTCAAGTGCCTAATTAATATTAAATTTTTGATAATAAAAAGAAAACTATTGACCTTAAATATATGGCAAGATCCCTGAAGCCAAATCACATACTTAGTCAATAAAAAATGATCTCAAAGTTGATTAATAATTTCTTAATATCAAGTTATATAGTGTGTGGGTTATCACGATTGTGGCAAAGGAATGCTATTTTTTAATGTAATGAAAACTAACGTAAATATATTTTACGTTGTGAGACTTGATAAATCATAAAACAGAAAGTTCTACTAAATCTTTATTATTGATATTTGAAAGATGCACTCAACTACTTTTAAGTTGTTTTATAGGTACTATCAACAAAGTTATAAAATTCTTAGTATGATTAGTTGCTTTTTAGGGTATAGTCCTACACAAAAACTATCAAGAACAACGTATGCGTCAACGCATCATTGTTGAAATAGTACCCATCACAATACATATTACTCTCATTAAATAAACAATTCAAGGCCGGCCCATAGGGGGGACGGGCTGACCGGCTGAACCAGACCCAAATTTTTTAATATATCATATATCTTTATCTTTATCCTTTAATATAATATTTGAGAGTTAAGGCTCCTAATCCTTTAATATAATATTTGAGAGTTAGCCTAGAATGATGACATGTGGCAAGTTAAGGCTCCTAATTTGCTTACACCTCGGATGACATGCGTCTAATTATTAGCGGAAGCTCTTCCCAGGCAGTATCGTTCTTTCCCTTGACCTTCTTCTTCGCGAAAGGAAACTAAAAATAATTGGATCTTCACGCTCAAAGGAAACTAATTTGATTTTGCCCTGATTCGCTGCGTTGGATTTTCACGGAAGGAAAGAAATCCCAGGTATGCGATCCGACTTTCCATTCTTCTTATTCGGCTACCCGAATTTTACCCTAATTTATTCCGGAAAATTATTTTTTTCATGAATTGGTGGGTTGATTGATACCAATCTGCTTCCTTCAATTAATTGAAATAATAAAAATCGTGATTCATACCTAATTTATATTTGTATACCCTAAATACATTGGAGAAATCGTATACCTAATTTATATTCGATTAATAGCAATATTTTTTCTTCCTATAATTCTATCTATATTTAACTTCTCCTCAAGAACAACCCAGCAATCACGTCTTAGGCATACTATTTTCTAAGATTCAGCCTTCCTTTTGTTTTTTGGTTCAATACGTGTCAATGACCATCCATCCACTGTCGAAGATCACTCCAAGCAGTGAACGTTGGAGGATCATGGTTCGTGTCATAAGATTGTATACTTTACCCGCTTATAATGATCAGAAGACTACAAATTCTATTGAAATGGTGTTCATGGATGAACATGTATGTCACATTCTCTTGATTCATCATATTTCTTTTCATTAAATATATTATTTCTATTATTTGATAGTATCTTGGATGTTGGGTTTTTTCGTGTGGTGTTACTGGCATATTGTTAGTATGGTTGTATTTGATGTGTTTCGATTATAAATGTGTCATATGAAAACAGTGTGGTTGTTAATGTTAGTGGCATTAATGGCATGTTGTTAGTGTGTCATATTGTTAGTGTGGTATTACTGGCATATTGTTAGTGGCATATTGTTAGTGTGGCATATTGTTAGTGTGGTTGTATTTGTTATTGTGGCATATTGTTGGTGTGGCATATGAAAGCATTGTTAAGAAACTCTATGCCTGAGGTGGGTTTAGTGAGTTGTATGGACAACCTTGCCATGGACAAACTATTTTCATACTGTTGGAGTTGTGCCCTGATGGCCAACTGTTTATCATTATTCTATCATCTATAGGAAGATATAATATGTTTACACATCTCATGCTAATGTAAACAAATATTATATTCCTAGATTTATATTTAAAAGATGTTTATCAGATAGTGTTTTTCTGCTGATGAGACTAACATCTTGAAATAAATATTTATCTAAATGTCCATAGTCGAGTATTAACGAGAGTGGGATATCGTTAATGCATGTGAGACTAGTGTGTGTTGGATGTTTGACTTAGTCTCATGGTCAATGACGGTGTGTTCGCATCCGCACATGGGCAGATATTATCTAGAGATAATAGGATGCCGGACTGACCCATTCTAAAGATGTTGCTTGAATTTTTAGTTCATGCTCTAAGCATCTTTAGCGCGACCACGGGTGTAACTATCCTTCGGCTTGAAGTATTACGTTTTCTGCATATGTGAACCCGCATACTTTGATGCATTGTCCTAAGCCATATGAAATAAGGATGGTATACAGGCTTTGTTTTGGGTATGCCGCAGCGCGTATTCAGAAACGTAGATTACGTACATAGGATTTGTCACTACTCTTTTTAAAGAGATTAATGTCTTATGGGGCCCACTGATAAGT